CCAAATGCGTTCACATTTCCGAAGCCTGCTACGATTATCCTAAAGTATGATTTTATATGGCTTGAAGTTTTGTACTGAAGTGTTAATGTAATTGAATTTAAAATCTGTATATTCCTTATTATTTGAAAATGACTTTGAGCCAGAGAAACATAATTGATTTCAAATTTGTCTTAAACTGTTACACATAATTTTAAATTTCTACATTAATACATAAGTTATTCTTTATGATCAAATAACACATTTAAAATATTATTTTAATATAATATGAAATGATATTTATATTATATTAATATAGAAATAAATTACATGATATACTCCCGGAAATACACAAACAGACGCGCGAAGGGCGATGCGCAATTACTACGATCGTGCCTGTTGTTGCCAAACGTCGAGAGAGGTACTGAGTATTCATTAGCATTGCACTTTAACAGCACGTCATAGCAATGCCATGGAAAAAGAATACATTCGCAAAAAATGTCTGCGTAACATGGTCGTATTATTATTATTATTATTATTATTATTATTATTATTATTATTATTATTATTACAATTATTATCATTATTATACAGGAAGAAAATGTCTATTTTATTGTGACGTAAAATGTTTCACTCTTTGAATTCCTGGTTTCGAAAGTCAATCATTATCTCCCGACCTTCACCACCTATTGCTAGACAGATGATGACGGCAATGCAGTCAAAAGCTCTCTTAATAAATTTAAATTGACAAAGATAACTTCTATTACTTCATTCTTAAATAATGTATATAGCATTACATTAGCGCCCCGCAATGTTTTATTTTTACCAATTTCTATACATGCAAGTTGCAGTACTAGTTTGAGTACTCCAGCAGCAAATTCTGCTATTCACCTTCATTAAACGCGTAATCACATAATTACAGAAACTGATTTTTTGTAAAGATACATATGTTCCAAACGATTGGTGTATATTATGTCTTAATACACTCACTAATCTTTGCATTTAAAACAAATACCGAACTGACAAAGTGTCGCTTCGGAAACTAAAACCTTTCAATAGTCTATTCAAAGCGAAGAGAAGAAAGGTCACCAATTACATTCACAGCTTCACCAAATTGGCTTCAGTGAAAAAATAAATTTCGTCAAAAACACAGTTACATTAATGTTACTTCCACCACGACCACCTCCCCAAGCGTGCACTGAGGTTCTACCATAACGGTGCTGGCCTTTGGCGGAATACGTTGGGAACTTGTCTCTTAGTGACAGGCAAAAGTAATTATCATGGTACATCTATCAGCATACTATTTAAATTATTTATTTTCTGCATGTGTGTTGTTTTAATCTTTACCAAACTTTGCAAGCACACTGCATCAAAATCTGTAGAAGACCCTGTAAATGTTTCGTATCTATCACACAT